GTATATATTATATTAGTTGTGTGTGTGTGTGTGTGCGTTATGTATATATATATATATATATATATATGCGTGTGTGCATGTGTGTGTGTATATATTTTTATATATGTGTGTATACAGATATAATATATATATATATGTATATAGTGTGTGTGTGTATTTATTTTTATATGTATGTGTATACAGATATAATAGATATATGTGTGTATGTTTGTTTTGTTTGTTTGTTTGTTTGTAATGTGCTTTGTAGATTGTATTATCAAATGCTATATCTGGATACTCTCTGATTTGCGTAAATATCCGTCAGTGTATACATATGTGTTTGTATATATAGGTGCTGAAAGAAATTTTGCCCCTATTCATTATTATACTTCATTTATCGAAGAACCTTTTCAAGTGCTTCAAACTTGATATGGGATTTTACTTACGTGTGTTTAGCAGGCAGTTTCATATACATGTTGACTATATGCTTGACTATATGCGAGTGTTATGAGTCTGTGCTCAATTGTTGTATATAATTATCTGATACAGCAAATAGAAAATAGACATCCTTTTGTATTTATTCATATATATTATATATATATATACGTGCGTGCGTGTGTGTGTGTATGTGTTTATTTAATATATATATTTATGTATATATATATATATATGAATTGGTATAAAGGCATATGTCCGTGATAGTATATAGTGAGCATATGCATCTGTTGATTTGTCATCATATCCGAGCATCCATATTCTGTTATTACGTTCATGTACACTAAATTAATTACTCGTGTATAAGTGTATCATAAAGATGTGACTCGTGGTCGTGGTCGTATTAACCAATTATAATATGCATTTATGTGAGCGCATGCCTCAGACACACGGACTGGTGCCACTTATAGCAAAGATCTTTCCGATTTGGCATGCACCTGAAACACACCACCTCCCCTATTACTCCAGTCTCCGATAGTGGGACGTTTCAGAAGGCGGTGGGCGTGTTAATTCTGCTGCAGCCCATCCTGAAGTTCCTGATTCTAGCTCTGATCTTCTTGGTGGCTTTCTTCGTGCGCCAATTTTCAGTAGTGCGATTCGAATCCATCATCCACGAGTTTGATCCATGGTAAATATCAAACATATGTCTTTGTCGTTTGCTTAAGATTGTTCGATATATAAAATAGACACCAGGTTAACATGTGTAAAATTATGGTTTAAGAATCCAGCAGTGACCAGTCGTGCACTATTGTATCGTCCGTGTTGTGCTAATTCCGCACCATGAAAGCTATGAGAATACCGCAAGAGTGAGTTCACTCTGCGTTTCGGGCGCTGCGTTGCTGCAGTGCATCATCACCACTGCGTGTCTATATTGTCGTTTGTTGTCGATTGTATGCAGAGGTGTGTGGACCCTCCCCCCCCCCCCTCCCCGCGCCTGTTTTTCTGAAACAGATACGTTTATATTGACGCAATTTCCGTTTATATATCCTCATATCGATGCATCCGCCAGGTTCAACTACCGTGCCACCCAATACTTTGTAGAGCACGGATGGGACGACTTCATCAACTGGTTCGATGAATTTGCCTGGTATCCGCTTGGTCGTATTGTTGGTGGAACCGTATACCCCGGGCTGATGTTGACGTCAGGTGTGTGCGCTGTTACAAGTTAGCCATCATACCACGCACGTGAGTCCATTATTCGCTTGCTCACGCAGACATTCACTACATTTTCTGTGTGTTACCACTTCAATTACGCGCACAGACCATTTTTTTCATTAGTATACTACGCGCATCTAGTATTTTCCCCTGGCCTTCACCATCTGCCAATAGAATGCTCTGCCGCCCATAAACTTCCTCCATAGATGCTCACTATCGATCGCCCACACTGCAGGCTTTATCCATTGGGTGCTGAACGGTCTCAACATGACCATCCACATCCGCGAGGTTTGTGTGTTCCTGGCGCCCTTATTCTCCGGGTTAACTGCCATCGCAGCATACCTACTCACTAAGGAGTTGAAGGATGAGGGTGCTGGTTTACTGGCTGCAGCCTTCATGGGTATTGCTCCTGGGTACATCTCGCGCTCTGTGGCAGGTTCGTACGATAATGAGGGTATCGCTATCTTTGCGCTGATCTTCACGTACTATTGCTGGATCAAGGCTCTTAAATTAGGTATGTGCTGTACTCCACAGAAGCATTTCTGTGAAGGTCTGCGTGTGTGTTATGGTGTTGTAGATAAAGAAGGCTCACATTTCGATGTGAGTGCGTGCTTCGTCGTTGTGGTGTCAACTAAAAGCATGGTATTCTCGTAGTACAGCCCAACCTTTGCGAGTGAAAATATGCTGCTCCTGGTAACTACTCATATTTTGTTACAAATAGTTACACCTCGTGTCCAGTGCGTACTTTCGCTCACAAGTGCTGTTGTATTGGTTTATCGCTATTGCTCATTGTATTTATCGCTTGACTGTGTATCCGCCTTCCTTGTGCTGGCAGGATCAATGTTCTGGGGTGCCATGACGTCTCTGGTGTACTTCTACATGGTCAGCGCGTGGGGAGGCTACGTCTTCATCACCAATCTGATCCCCCTGCACGTGCTCACCCTGTTACTCATGGGTCGTTACACCTCGAAGATCTACATCTCATACTGTACGTTTTTCGGCATCGGCCATCTGCTGTCTATGCAGGTATGGCAGTTACACTGTAGTATGTACGAAGTGCGCGTACGTAAACGTTTGTACCTGTCAAAGATATATATTCGTACAGTTGTTTTGTCGACGATACGCCTATTACTACGTACGTGCACACTCTGCTGCTCACGGGGGCATCCCCTCAATGCTTTGCATTCCGCGTTGCAGCTTGCCACCTCAGTAGCACGTGGCTACCATGGGATCCAGATGGTCACCATGTGTATTCTTACCAATTATCGGTTAACATACAGTCATTGTCTCTGAGTTGTCCCTATTTTTGTGGGAGCTGCAAAACGCATTTTGCGCCGCATACGTACTCTGTCGCCTCCACCTGCGGGCAAGAGCAGGATCCTGGAGTGCTTGTAGATTCTACCATCGCCGAGCACACCACACCCCCATCACATGCGTGGGCTTTATTGGTACATACCGTGCGATGCATGTAGAAACAACCATCCTCATTCCGGCTATATCTGTACCTCGTACTTTCAGATCCCCTTCGTTGGTTTCTTGCCCGTCAAGACATCCGAGCACATGGCGTTTATCGGCGTATTTGGCCTGCTGCAGTTGGTGGCTTTTTCCTACTTTATCCGCCAGTACCTGGACGATACCAATTTCCTGCGCCTCATCAAGACAACCGTGGTCCTGATCATCGCTGGAGGTGTGTCGCTGTATTTATGCATCGTAGGCTACATACAGACACGCTTGAATGGGGGCATGGTTAGACATGTTATAGTACGCTCCGTTGTTTTGTGTTATCTCTTTATTCTTGTCATATCCGTGGTTGCACCGCCATTTCACGAGCGTATGCTCTGTCAAAGCAATTGATCACTTGTTGTGATGGTGTTACCTTTTGTCTCATTGCAAAACCTATGTAAGTTACCCTGCAGTATAAGTACAGTGATTATGGCCCTTGATTTTTTTTCTTGCTTGACTTGCGTGTAGATTTGTAGTAAGTTTTCTACTGTGGGCACCACGCCCATTCCACGCTCTTGTGTACCCCGGGCGCATTTTCGTGGCAAGTGAACAAAATGTGTCGTATCGACATGCTCGGTATTCGAATATGTGTATGTAGTATGTATGTATGTGTGTGTGTGTGTATATATGTATGCATATATATATATATATATGTGTGTGTGTGTATGTATGTATGTATGTATATACATGTGGTCATTCTGAGCCACCAATCTGCCTGTAGTGCCACTACTGAAACGAAACACATCTCACAACTATAGTACGTTCTCATCAAACTTAACGTGATCCCTCAAGCTAGCTACCCCCATGGATGGGTCTGTGAGTACACACCAATATGGCTTGTCGTTGATGCATCTGTTAGATTCACACTCACCTATTCGGTCCTATGGACATGGCAATTGTCATGTATATTGACTCTGTGGCTAATTTTATTGTCCAGGTCTGGGTGGTCTATTCCTGCTGTCCTCACTGGGCTATATCGCACCCTTCGCCGGCCGCTTCTACTCTCTTTGGGATACGGGGTGAGTCGCGCTTAATATCACGAAAGGACTTCAAAAGTTCTTAGTTTTCCCTTTTCCTTTCACGTGGCACAATGCTCGTGCATATCTTACCAGCATACTAACAGTATTGAACCCTATTCCCAATCTGGATTGAAATCATTGATATCTTCTTTCTAGTCCGCTCGACTCCAGAATAAACTTCCTCTATGCCCGCGACTTGCGCCGAATGCCTTGTATCACCTCACTTAACATCATACACCAGACACATGCAATCTCCCATCTGATCTGTGCTCCCCTATATCCTTACGCGTCTACCAGGTATGCCAAGATACATATTCCTATCATCGCCTCTGTATCAGAGCATCAGCCCACGCCGTGGACATCGTACTTCACTGATCTAAATATTCTCGTACCTATGCTGCCTGTGGGTGTGTGGTGCTGCTTCCAGAACCTAACCAACGAAAATGTCTTCATTTTGTTGTACGCAGCCACCGCCGTCTATTTCTCTGGAGTCATGGTACGTGAGTAGTGCTTTCGGAGCTTTAGTTGTTGTGTACGTGAGTAGTGCTTTCGGAACTTAAGTTGTTGTGTACGTGTTTGAGTTACTTTGAGCATGTGATACTACTCGTGTCTTTGAGCATGTGTATGTCGATAAAGTATAATCCTGTTGCGCATCTGAGCATGCGCGCGTGTCTATATGAATGGACCAGTACCTGCTTTGCATTAATCGCCACGGACTCCTTCGAAGTCATGGGGGTTTTTTTGCTACTTTTATCTTGTGCCCTTGTTGCGATTATGGATGTGTGATACAAAGTGCGTACTCAGTTTTGTGTACGACTCCATCAAGTCGCATTCACCTCTATCAACGCTCGTTTCCAATCTCAAAATCCTGTACAACGATTTCGGAATCCGACATGCATAGTGTGAAGATGTCACTTCGTGTTGTTTCGGCGCCTATCATTCGCCGTAGACTACCAATATTCCTTCTTCAGATTATCACAACTTCTTTCTGTAGAGCTTGTGTCCTGTTAATGCTCGCCTTTTAGTTGCGGAGGTGATTGATGAATTTGTACTTAGATCGTGGCAGTGGTAAATTTGTGTGCCCAATTCGGTCCTATAGGGTTTTTTTATACTACAGAGACATTCTTGCAACTCTGTCTCAAAGTACCATGCCTTTACTAATTGATGGAAGGAATGTTTGGTATTTGTGCAATCCTTTGGTATCCAGCTCTGCAGGTGTGCATTCTCCACTTCCCGCGCGCTTCAAGCGTCACCTCGAATTTTACAATAGCCGTGATCCCTCCTCCAGGTATTCTAACACCGCACACCTGCCCTACAACCTCGCCTGACCACCAGTCTCCTGATTATCACAACACCCGCACGCACACATACACACAGGTGCGTCTAATGCTGACACTCACCCCCTGCGCCTGTATCATGGCCGCTATTGCCTTCTCGAGTGTACTGGACACGTACATGCGTGACGATACCGCTGCTGGACGGCGTCTGACCAAAGAGGAGCAAAAAACCTACCAATCGCCGCATCTGTTCACGCGTGCGTCGGTAGTGGGTGTAGTGACGTACATGCTGATCTTCTTCTCGGGTCACTGTACGCACACCACATCCACGGCGTACTCATCGCCTTCGGTAGTGCTGGCTTATGGTACGTACATTAGTGGGGTGTATTTGATATTCTTCTATATATATATATATATTTATTTATTTTTATTCTAGGTAGGTTTTTGGCTGCGAGTGTGTGTATGAATTGTAAAGTACAGCTTTGCCGCGGTATGGTAGAGAAATATGTACATCGTTGCTTAGGTGCAATATCCAGTCAGATGTATACTTTTCTTGTTGCATGGTGATGTGTACTTGAATCGATTATGGTCGTATGCAGTCGTCTGGCAGAACACCGTTCGGTGCGACAAGATTTAATGTCAAACCATGCAATTTTGGTAGGTTCAGAGGAAAGAAACATAGTATCATATCCATCGATTGGAACTTTAACCTTGCCAAATGCCCCAATGTGATAGTATCACATCATAATCTTTCCATCCACCCTCTGTGCCTTTGTTCACACAGGCAATTCCATTCTTGACGATTTCCGTGAGTCCTACTACTGGCTCAGACAGAATACAAGCCCCGATGCCAACATCATGTCGTGGTGGGACTACGGCTACCAAATTGGAGGTTTCAGTAACCGATCTACACTGGTGGATAATAACACGTGGAATAACACACACATCGCTATGGTTGGTAAAACCATGGCTAGCAATGAGACCGAGGCCGCAAAGGTTCGTTTACTGTGGCTTCCTCGGAAGTGTAGTTAGCCTTCTGATTCGAATTCTGTGTTAGTATTGACGTAGTGTTGCATGTTTGGTAATATGTGCATAAAACGATTATTTTTTTCGGTCGGATTGTGATGTACGGCTAGCCAGATACCTGTCAACAGATTGTTGGACGCTCCACCGAGAACCATTGCATAATCTAGTTTACAGGAATAAAACATTTTGAGACGTATATCCATCAGCACGCTTGTATCTACTTTTTCTGCACTTTGTCCATAGCTTGATGCATTTCTTCACGATCTTACGGACAAACTATCTCTCTATATAAATGTTCAATTTGTTCACAGCTGATGGAGTACATGGACGTAGACTATGTGCTAATTATATTCGGTGGCTACATCGGGTATTCGGGAGATGACATCAATAAGTTCTTATGGATGGTGCGTATTGCCGAGGGTGAGTTCCCGGATATAATACAGGAGCACAACTACTTCAATGCTCAGGGTCAGTACAAGGTCGACGCCTCTGCGTCTCAGGTGAGCATGTGTGGTGATTGCAAAGCTATTTTCTGCGTGGTAGGTATAGGAATGGGAATGGTCATTTGGTTAATGGGATTCGCACGATGTGTTTAGAGTGTGAGTCTATACTCAAAGAGTTGAAGCCAGGCCAGATATGTAAATTTGTACTAAACCGAGATGTATGTGAATTACGGTGAAATCAACAGGCCTAGGGTTATTCCAACGTCGATATAGTGGGCTTTCCGAAATGTGTAGTCGATGCCGTATAAATCATATTTCACATGTTCGGATTGTCGGTAGTAAAATTAAACTCCTTATATTTCCCTGAAACTTGTTCGATGGCCAAATGGTGCCGTTTGGTAAAATACCCCTCTCATGCGTAGTATCCGGTCTGGAAACTTGTAGCATCCTTCCAAATGCTTGGTGTGGACCCCGACAATTTCTCTTATGTATAACATATAGTATCAATCATTAACACCACTCTCTCCACTCTATTATTTTTTGCAGACTATGAAGAATAGTCTCATGTACAAAATGTCATATTACCGCTTCGGTGAAGTGGGAGGACAGGATCGTGTGCGAAACACACCTGTGGACACGTCCCAGATCAATTTTGAACACCTTGACGAGTGTTACACCTCCGAACATTGGATGGTGCGGATATACAAAGTGCGCAAGAACGTCAACCGCGACACCCCTGCCCCTCTCTTGGGCGCAAAGGGAGGTGCTAAGAAACGAGGAATTAATGCATAGAAGCAACCTGTGTAGCCAGGGCGATTTTTTGTATTCTCGGTGTGCTACGAGCACTGGCGCTCGATGCACGTAGAGAATGGATAGGGAGTGCATAGTGATTCAATAGCTGAGGTGTCCAGGCCGCTTCTTTAATTAAGCGTGTTGGTTCGACGGTTAGCTACGCATGCCTCTATTTACGAATGCGATTAATATTGAATGAGCCATTAAGTGGTGAGAGAGAGAGAGGGAGGGGGCAAAGAATTGACCGTTTCTTCGCCCTAACCCCCCTTCGTCTGCTAAGCACTTTGCCATAGATTTATGGTAATAAAATTCATTGTTTATAACTATTTATATTTTTTCCCGTTGGGGGCTGAGCACAGCTCGGTATCAAACTTTGTATTATTATTTTTAGATATATATATCTGCCCCTAAAAATGAAAATCACAATTTTAGTATAATAGATATCAGTCTAATATACTATCTGTTCAGTAGCCAACATTAATGCCCTCCGGCCGGCGAAACCAGTTGCCGCCAATACGTTCACGCACTGACCAAAGGATAAATAAATAAACGCATCACAACGCTTATACCCCTACGGGAGAAAACCGAGATTCGCGTATGTTGATTTCCATAACATGGCCTATTGCTTATAATTATGTCCTCAATGGTAACCTCGTACCTTCGAGCCTGCGATTACACTTTTCGTGCGTTCTATACCCAATGACGCGTAGAGCTGTTCATCATAATATTTTTGTATTCTGTTCGTTCCCCGACATGCAAGCTTTGAGGACATATACTCGTTCGATCGTGGTTGTCGTAGTTCACTTGATATCGATGACAAGGTGGCTCAACGCTGCCCTGCCCTGGTAACGCCCAGAAATTTGATGCCGACATATATCATATAGTCTGTCGAACTGGTTGGCATTGTCAATATATGGCAGGGTTCGGGTGCGCTGTATGTGGCCATCTGCCGTGTCGGCACTCAATTTCCACCACTCAATTATCATGTGATCCGTCATTTAATCGGTTAAAAGAGATATTTAATACTCAAATGCAAAATAGCAACCAAACATACCTCTCCAATTTGTTGCCCAGCGACTGCCTCGTAAGTTAGTTGATTCTGTCGATATCGGCAGGTGGCCTCTACCGTTTGCGAATAGACCCTTTAGACACATTCATGACTTCGGATACAGCCACAATATTGAGATGTAGAAGTATTCAGACGAACCGTTACCACGCACAAATTCAATATTAAAGGTCATATGCAAAATTAGCGCGCGATAGCTGAAGCTATTGGGCGTTCAAATATATTGAACCTTATCTTTACATCAGTGCCAAAACCATATCCTTGGAGCCCTATTCGTTAAAATATTTGAAAGATTCGTGTGTCCTTGTGGACTAGATCTCTAATCATATAGAAAGCTACTCATTAGTAGAATGTAACGCGCGTTTGCTCGCATCATTGTACAGATCCTCGAATGCTGGTAGCGCTGACACCAATCCTCCAGCAGTATAGCGTACCAAATAATCCTTCACAATATTTTGTTGTTTTGACATGGCGGCCCAATATATCATGGTCGTCTACTGGAAAGTATTTTTTATATTGTGATGTTGTCTTGCTACTTTGTGTATTGTATGAATATATCTGTATTTTGCTTTAGATTGTGTATAGTAGTCTAGCTCACAGTCCCACATCCCCATACCCCTGTACTGGGAAAATGAACATACAATTCTACCGACTGTGTGTAGATAGAATACATATGATCGAGAGTCATTGAGAGAGAGCCATGTGCCATCGAGTCGTCGAATATACTCGTCTTTGTCACATTGATGACTGGTAGTCCTTTGGGGGCAAGGATCTGCGGCGCACTCTAAATTATCGTCCGGATTGGGACTCGATGTGAACCAAAGATTTCAGTCAAAAATCTCGAATACCAGTATATATGAGAAATATTGGAGGCAAACATCATTTGCAGGTGCAACTACATAGGCCAACAATTTAGTTCAGACCCAAAATAGTAGGAGCTCTTATTCCAGTTTATTAAACATTGCCTATCGTCTGTTCGTGACCAATATTCTACCACAGCGCTTAGGTTTTTATTATGTAGCGCGTGGTTACGATGAAAACGATTTATATCGGAACATGGCTCAGTGTGTAGCTATTGCCAATTCCATTGTTGGTGCTGCTTTAGATGCAGATGGACCCAGAGCGCGATTAAAATAAGGACAATGTTATTTATTTATATTTGGGTCGATTATTACTAAAACCCTATTCGTTGAAGAGGTTCTGGAAAGATTGCAGGGAAGTTGAGATTTTCGAACTATCGCGAGAAGCTCGGGGCGAGTGATGCAACAATGGAAGACATACGGTGCGTTAATTCGCTACGATGGACACAGAATACCTCTACCATTGGGTGGGAGCTAAAACTTGTGTGCCATTGTGTGGAATAAAATTAGCCCGCACTCGTAGTGGTAATATGGGCTGAGTCAGTCTGAGTATTTTTGAACTTGATACCAAGAAGGGTAAGTTTGTCATCCGCAATTCTTTTTTGGAGCTAAGCTGGAGGCTGCCCGATACCACATCACACAACCGATGTATCTATAATATCCTCGTTAGCCATAGCGGAAATATCATAGGTGGTACCAGATGTTTCGAAGATTTGGTTTGTACCGAAATCTGGATATAGTACTTCAGCAGAGTGATGAGAATGGGTATGGAAATGCACTCGTTGTGGTAATATGGGCTGATTCAGTCTGAGTGTTTTCGAACGTGATACCAAGAAGGGTAAGTTTGTCATCCGCAATTTTTTTTTCGGAGCGAAGCTGGAGGCTGCCCGATACCACATCACACAACTGATGTATTTGGAATATCCTCGTTAGCCATAGCGAAAATATCATAGGTGGAACCAAAAGTCTCGAAGATTTGGTTTGTACCGAAATCTGAAATTAATACTTCAGCAGAGTGATGAGAATGGGTATGGAAATATCAATCCTCGTTAGCCATAGCTGAAATATCATAGGTGGTACCAGATGTCTCGAAGATTTGGTTTGTACCGAAATCTGGGAATAGTACTTCAGCAGAGTGATGAGAATGGGTAAGGAAATATCAATTTATCGACCAGTACTGGACGAGGATAAAATGGTGCCCGCTGTCCATGGACAAGAATGCTCCCGAGATGTTCGTGGAGAGTCCATATGCCGTGGTAACCACGCCGATTATGTAAATGTTGTATTAAGTCTGGTGCAATTGGCGGTAGGTTAGGGCCCACCAGAGTACGCCTTATTAAGTCACTGACACAAGCAAAGTGGCTGGAAGTAAACGTCGTAGCTCCGGGGCACACTGAACGAGACATCCATCAGTACGATAGTCAAGGAATTTGAACAAGAACGTGTTAGTTGTTATCATGGCACAAAGGCGAATCGGCGTGTGTCCACGACAATAGGAAAAGCTATCATGGGAGGGCTTGTCTCGATCCGTGATAGAAAGCTTTCCCTTTACAAGTCGAAAGAGTATGGGTGGCGAGCTTTCTCTGCTATCTCCTTTTATGTGAGACCTCGTGTGGTACTATGTCGGATCTGCTCGCGGAGCTTACAAAGTTCTTTGAGTTGAGGTATGCACCCGCCCATCGATGCTAGATAAATGTAAATATTGACCGGGAAGATGCCGGAGGTCTGTTTCATTTCCAAACAAGTCTCGTATGTGTGGCGAGCGGGTTTGTACTTTTAATCGAGTGAATATGGAGTCCCAGACAGTTATCAAGGGCTTAGAGTTTTAGCGTTTAAATTGCTGGAAGAAAACCGCAGAAGCGAAAAAGCCGTATGGCTGGCATGAAAGTCTCGGGAATGCAGGGCCTGTTATGATGGCCGCTGCTTGAATTAGTGCTGAGTTGCACCGCTTGTACAGTAGCTTCGACGCGATATGCAAAAAAAAAAATGGAACCCATGCAATGATGTTCAGATCATAGGTGGCAGTTGAAAAAATGAATATCTTGAATATTTCCAACCGATTTCGCGGATGGCGCCAGCTGAATCCATGAAACACATACGCCCGGAAGGACACTATGCCTGGAGTAATGCTGCCAGGAGATAGTCAGTTTTAGGGTTGGGACAGTTGAATTGCTATGTATTGGAAGGCTATGGATCGAGAGTTTTGTCGCCATGGGCATGGGAGGGATAATTAGGCGTCCGTTGAGAGCATTCGCATTTGGGGAGCCTACTAGCGTTGGCGTGATGAGATGTCCTTTGATACAGAGAGGCTGTATCGCATCCAGCAAACTCTTTCTGGGCTTAAGAGTTCCTTGTTCTAGATCGGATTGGTGATCTCAATTATCAATCGCGTTCAGAAAGGGTTGCAGGCGAACAGACTGTGTAGCCTGGATGCGTGCGTCGGGAGTTTTGGCCGAAATTGCGCTAGCGTAATAGCCAGGGAGTCCATATAGATGATAAACAGCTGTGGACCGACAATCGAACCTTAGAGTACGCCATTCGTTCTATGAAATAAAATCGTAAGCTTCCCACGCAACATATGCGACACATACAACATAGAATCACATAACGCCATACTATCAATTGTATGACTGTAGTCAAATTGTGTATATAAGATAGAACTTGCAACAGAATGATCGTTTTTATTCGAGTTGTATAAACTTGTATACTTGAAGTTGTTACAATAGTTAGGGGGACAGACTACACCGTTACACTATAAAAGAAAATGGTGGAGCTATCGATGTCGATACGCCATTGAGAGTATCCCAGCGTCGTTCAGAAAAATCAAAGCATCCATATTGCACAAAATATGGTCCTGGAGACGAGGAAGTCACCGGCAAAGAAAATGGCGATCGAAAGCGAAAGTCGAACTACAAAGATGATAGAGGATCAAGAAGAGGTCTAATCTTGGAGGCGACGATATGGTCGACAAATGTAAGGGGGGGGAATACAAACTCCCCTGAAATACCCTATGAAGAATTGACTCATGCGTACGAGCATGAGATTGGAATAGGTACCGTCATTTTACTATCCGATGGTAATTTGTACCGTGTCCAGAATAATCTAGGGGATGGCAATTGTCTTCCAAGAGCAGTCTGTGAGCATAGAGAACTATCGAAGATTTATGTCAATGACCATGAGGAGCTCGGGAAAACATAGCGACGTGAACTACCTTATTCTTGGAGTATGCAAAAGCAGTTTTCTTTTTGACTGCCGCAGACTGGAAGCAGGCACTGTGAAACTGGTGGTTGAGGATGTCGAAGTCCGGCAGCTGGATGGATGACTAATGTGTTTTTCGCCATTGTTGTTATGTATGGCATCGATATTTGTAAGTGGTGAGTACGATTAAATAGTGCTGT